GTCAGTAGCAGTCAGCTTTATTTTAATAGAACAATCTGCAATATTCTGTTTTAAATGTATGTATGTTGCATGAACAATTACAAATTGTAAAATAGAATTTCAAATCCAGTTTACTAAAGCTGGAGCAAATTAACCAAAATAAATGAGGATACTGATAATGTTACCTGATTCAGTTATGTGATCTGTGTATACTAGCAATGAGCTCACACAGTTCCTCTTAAATCAACAAGCATTGCACAATAGAGAGTGATAGCGGTAACTGTTTTTAAATTTTCTTAATTCTTAAAGTTAATCAATAAATATTGTTCATTCAAGTCCATGATTCATTTGAATTTCTAATTCAGTAGAGGAGATACTCATTCCTTCTATATGTGTAAACTGTAAAATACTAATGTGACCAGGGACACGCTGACGTGAAGCAGGACGAGGGAAGTGGTCTCCATCACTCTCTGAGGACCCGAGGACAAAGAGTTAAACTCGAGGTCTCTTATTCTGACATGGATCCAAAGACCAGCTCCCCTGTGAATGAAGACAAGGCTGGAGGATGCTGCACCAGGTAACACAGGCCCACTCATTTTAATATTAGTGGGACTTTTTCACCGACTATGATCAAGTTATAGGACCTAATACATTCATTATTATTAATTGTCCTGAATATTTAGAATTCTTTTTACTGGACGTGACCTATATTTCATACAGTGGCATTGTTGTAAAACCCTTTTGTCTCAGCAACAAATTCTTCTTATAAATGCTTGTCATGTCAAATCTGATGTACGGTACATTTGTGTTTGTTAATTTGTGGAAATATATGCATATTTTTTACAATTAAATAATGAGTAATGATAAAATAGTAAGTGACACAAAGAACTCATTGGTGATTATATGTGTGCTTCCTCTCTTCAGGAAATCGTCCAGACTACAAAGAGAGGGGAAAGCATCCAGTGGTAAACAGCAAGCAGGTACAGTTTGTTACTGTGTCATTTCTCTACAAAGAACACAGAAGCTCTTAAATTTTACAGTACACAAAGCTTAATGAGCAGTATTTAGTTTTCAGTAGAGTCTATATCAGAAAGCTAACAAAAACTGTTTCCGTTGGTGCCCCAGATGTTCCAGATGAAGTAGAGGGGTCGTCCACTCCCAAGAGGAGCCGCTTTAATCTACAGAGCCGAGAAGAGGAGGAGGAAGAGGAGGATCGATCAGTGCGACGTAGTTCCCGAATCACCAGATACAAACTGAATTCCCGCAACCAGTCAGTGCTCTATGACCGCCTCATCACCAAGTGAGTTCAACACTGAGTCCAAAATCTTTTGGCTCCTTCCTCACTGCTTCAGTTCAAATAAAGCTGATCTGTCACTTCAAGTAGTATCTTAACAAGTAACTTGACATAAACAGTGGGCTCTGGGTATGCATTTTAAAGTAATGAGTAATTAGAATACAGATGAACTTTGATAAAATCTGATCATTTCTTCCTCTGATTGTCCCTCAGCACTGCTGAAGCTGTTCTCCAGAAGATGGACGACATGCAGAAGATGAGACGCAGACTGAGAGATAGAGACACTAAAGAAGAGGTAATAATGCACAGAGGAAACTTAATTATTTCACAATCATAGTGTTTGTGTCAGCAGTGTAATCTTGCTGTTGGATAATGTGTTACAAGCTTTAAAATAATGAATAAAGCAGCATTTGACCTGTTTCCTCTGAGCAGCTCGGCATGTACACCCGGGGAAGAATGAGAAGCTCTCTGAGGACGAATGTGGACAGTAAAGATACTGAGGAGGAGAACCAAGGTGAGAAGGATTAGGTTTAATAACCACTTCAGGTACACAGACTGTATGAAGCATGCTGGTCTGGTTCCATCCAGTTTTGGAGAAAATTAATACACCTCAAAGCCTCAACTTACTACAAGGCATACTAAAGACACCTGCATACACAAATGTGTTTTATAGACTAACTCTATACAGTGTCATCGAAAGCAGAATTGTTCAACCTTTTGTTTTTTAAGAAACAATAATTCTGCCCCCTGTTGCAGAAAACTAACCACATTTGTTCCTATTAACAGGAGGGGATGAGGCCGATCACGATGAAGAGGAGGAGGAAGATAGAGAAGAAGATGATGAGGAGGAAGAAGATGAAGAAGATGACGATGAAGATGGCGAGGATGAGGAAGAAGAAAATCAGAGGCGTTATGACTTCAGACAGCGAAAGACTGTTGTTCGCTACCAGGCCCCACAGGATGGTACTGCTTATATTGTTTGAATGGCTGCATATGCTTGCTTCACCCAAATAAATGCAAATTTAGGTCATTTCCACCTTTTTATTTAGTCAGTGTTTTTAGTTTCTACCAGTAGTAGTGGTTTCAGTGACTTTATTGAAGTTCTTAGCAAATACACCCACACAGAAACTGGGTGATTCATTGGATTTATTAAAGCAGATTTGGCACTGGAGAAAAAAGATGAATGACAGCGTTTTATTAAATCGAGTTTGATGAGGTTTCTTATTGTTTTTCATAGAACCCAGAGAGCCCAGGAAGCGCAGCATGTACTTCAAAGACCACTCATCTCCTACCAGACGCAGGTTTAGATTCAGCTCCACGGCCCCCAGGAGCCCCTACAATAGAAGAACCAGCAGGTTAGTATGACAACACAGCCACCAGCTATCACCCCGAAACTGAGAAATATAACACCTGCTGTGGAGGACACACTTGATAGTGACATGAAATACTGTTAGAACTTATTGTAGCAGCCTACAGAAGTGGTCTGACTAATACAGTATCAGGAACAAGACCACACCCATTTTCATTCTTAAATTTGTACATATCTTTTTCTTTCTGATTCTCTTCATCCCACCCTCAGGAGTAGTTCTGAGAGGTAAGACCCTCACTACTTGTCCTTGTGTTTATTGTTAGTCTGTAGTTCGTTTTTGGGGTGCTGTCTGTCTTTGCAAGTGCCGTGGTTGTTGGTAGGTGGGGCACATTTGGGTGACACCATGGTTTAAGTATTGAGACAGTGAACCAAACTTCACCAGAAATGAATCATTGTTCAAGCATTGTTTGACAGCTGAATTTCTGTTAGCGAGTATTTTGTGTATTTTACTTTCATATAGTCAGAAGCTTATCTTGCCTTTACCTTTAACAAACTTTGAACATTATGTGTTTGATTTATTTAAGGTGAATTCTGTAGGTCTGTGTGTTCAGGTGGAGTGTTAGTCAGGTGTCAGGCTGCATGGTGATGGTGTCGTTGGATGAGTCCCCCCTGTGTTGTTGCTGCACATGATCCATAATCAAAAACAGCTTTAGTCTAAATTCATGCGTTATTACTGTTGTATCAGAAATCTGTATTTATATATAAACACATTATAATACTTACTGATTAGTGGGTGTTAATGGTGTTGTGTATTTGATCTTGTTCATTTGTTTGTTTGACTGACTGACTGTGTTTGGTTAAAGTTTTTAATACTAAATAATCAAACACCCTCATGGACACTCACAAGCACTGATTCCTGTTTTGTTGCTGAGGGCAACATAACATAAAGTGTTGTTGGGATCCTTTGTAATAGATAAACTGATAGTCGTAATGATACATATAGGTTGAGGGATAATGTTGCTACATCTTTTGCCTTCGCAGAAGGAGACACGCCATCCACAGTAGTGACTCCACTTCCTCATCTTCAGATGATGAGCAGTTCCAGAGACGTAGAAGTAAGAACAGGAGCAGGTCAGTCAACAGGTGAGAGCGTCAGCAGCAGCAGCTGTCATATACAGTACAGTTACAGGTAGACAATACAACACAGCCCATAGCTGGAATACAGAGGTGGGTGACAGAAGGTATAATGGTAACTATTGTACAATCATTTTAATAGGCCAATTTTCAACCAAAAGAAGTTCACTAAATTTTGGATTTCTTTTGTGACCTCTTTGGTCCCTTAGTGATAACATTTGGATAGAGTGGGTTCAATGAAGTTGTGTTTTAAAACAATATATTCTTATTATTGTAAAAAATCTCTTATGAAAAAATATATTAGTGAGAAAATAAACATGTTCTTTGTTGTTTTCCATGTTTTTCCTGCAGATGTCTGCCAATGAACCTTGTGAAAGAAGACTTGCTGGGGATCCACAAGGACAGGATGAAGATTGGAGCCAGCCTCGCTGATGTAGACCCCATGCAGATAGACAGGACGGTAAGCTGCATAGATAAATAAATAGATGGATGAACACTGCAACCCAAAGTAGTCTAATAAACAGAGACATTTTGATATTTGACATTTTGACAAGATGGTAAATATTAATGTTTTGACCTACATATAGCACATGTAGCACTAAACAGCTTAATAGCACTCCAGGGTGCTTCTTCAAAAATGAGTCTTTTAAATGTATTATTACATTTACCTCATCCACCCAGAAATGACTGAGGATAGAAAAACACATATTTGTATTCCTGCTAATAGTACTGGTGAATAGATAATTGGACAGTTTGTAGGTCAAACACAGAGATCAAATATTAATCGGGCAGTAATAGTATTATGAGCAAAAAATCTAAACATAACGCTATTTGTCATCCAGGTGCGGTTTGAAAGCATTGGAGGTTTGAGTAGACACATCTCAGCACTGAAGGAGATGGTGGTCTTCCCTCTCCTCTACCCAGAAGTCTTTGAGAGGTTCAAGATACAGCCTCCCAGGTAAAAAATGTGTTTGTTTAGCAGATAACATGTGATAACATAGTTTAGTATTCATTTTTCATCCTGTGACTCAATATCTGTCTCGTCCTTTTTATTTCCTAAGCTTGTGCAGTCTCTTCTCTACCGATGCCTCAGGCTGCAAGTTACACCCTAATAAACTCCTGGTCTTTGTCATATTTTCTCTTGTCTTCAGGGGGTGTCTATTTTACGGTCCTCCAGGCACTGGAAAAACCCTCGTAGCCAGAGCACTGGCCAATGAGTGCAGTCAGGGGGAAAGAAGAGTGTCTTTCTTTATGAGGAAAGGAGCTGACTGCCTCAGTAAGTGGGTGGGAGAATCTGAGAGACAGCTGAGACTGCTTTTTGATCAGGTAAACCAAACTCCATTGTACAGCATACTTTGTGGGATCAACAGAGGTTGTTGTTGTTTTTTGTTGATTCCTGTCAGAAAACATGTAAAAGCAAACTCACTATATTTGGACAGATTAACTTTTAGATTAGAATAAAGTAAACCAATGAAGTTACTGTCTGTACATTATCAAATGGTAAGATAGATGCAGAAGATAATGTAATCTGTAACTAATGGAATTCCTATTGAATTATTTCTAGGCATACCAGATGCGTCCGTCCATCATCTTCTTCGATGAGATTGATGGTTTGGCTCCAGTCAGGTCTAGTCGTCAGGACCAGATCCACAGGTGAGCATCACTCCTTTCTTACTTTGCACAGTACATGGTACTGAGCTTAGTGAGTATGAAATGTACAGAGTGGAACAGGGAAAATTACAGATTGTGTTGTGGGTTGCCAGAAAAGGTGATAAATAAAATAAACTATTTCATCTTCATCAGCATCTAGCATTGATCATCATAAGCCTAACTCATGCTTCACATGACAACAATCACAGTTAATTGTATACACCAAAATTACATAATTGCCTCACAGCTGTTGCCAGTCAGACTTAATATTGCGCACCGCCTGGAATTTGAAACGACTTGGATGCAGCTGCAACTACCCACCTCTTAATCAGAACTGAACACAAAGAACGTATACAACCCTTGAATGTCTGTCTGTTGCAACATTCTTGTGATCACAATTTGTGTGCACACAAATCATCATTTAATGCTCGACTGTTGGGGTGACTGGTGGCCAATCCGAAAATAAAGCTGGTTTAAAAATAGAAACTGCTTTGAATGATGACATTTATTGTAGTATCATGTTGGAATCATAATCCCTGTATCAGGAAAAGAAAGTAGCTACAGCATCTTTCAATTAATAAGTGGGAGTTCATTGTCTTTTTCAAGAATATGGCACTGCTCTTGAAAAAGACAATTTTGCTAGATATAGTGATAGTTACCACAAACCAGAGTAATTAATTTGGCTCAGTACACTGCAGTTATATACTCTTTATGATAGAGAGAAAGTGTTGACCAGTTAGAAAACCTAATCTTTTTCTGTCTCTGTAGTTCCATTGTGTCAACCCTGTTGGCTCTTATGGATGGATTAGACGCTAGAGGAGAAGTCGTTGTGATAGGAGCTACAAACAGACTGGACTCCATCGACCCAGCTCTGAGAAGACCAGGACGCTTCGACAGAGAGTTCCTCTTCGGCCTGCCAGACAGGGAGGTAAGAAACTGGAGATGTCCTTTAAGAGATAATAAAAAAGATTGACATGTGAGTTACAGTCAAATCTGAGAGAAGACAAGACTTTCAGCTTCTAAATACTGGACTTGATTTCGAAATGCTGTGACTTTCTTTTTTTTTTCTATGGCAGGCGAGGAAGGACATTCTGAAGATCCACACCAGACAGTGGACTCCACCACCTTCTGACACTTTTCTAGAAGAACTGGCAGATAAATGTGTTGGTATGTTTGCGTACAATAATGCAAAAACAGTGGTCAGATTGATACTTTTTTCTAAACTTCCCCAGTGCAAATAACACTTGCATTAGATTCAAATGATCAATACTGTATACCTTGTTTATTAACATCAAGAAAGAAAGTAATTCTATTCCAAGTGCAGCTGGAAATAATACAGGTATGACCTAAGGAGAAAACCTGTGTTAAAGACCCAAAATATAATAATAATAATAATAATAATAATAATAATAATAATAATAATTTATATCAATTAAGTTTTGCACAACTACTGATTGTGTAAATAAGCGTTATAACAATCTGTCTCTCTTTTCTTGTTAGGTTATTGCGGAGCAGACATCAAGGCAGTGTGTTCAGAGGCTGCCCTGTGTGCACTGCGGCGGCGCTACCCACAAATCTACTCCTCATCGCAGAAACTAGTGCTTGACATCAACTCCATCGCTATCACAAACAAAGACTTTATGTCCGCCATGTCCAAGATGGTGCCTGCTTCCCAGAGGTATAACCAAAATAACTGTATAGTACATTTTTATATAGTGCTGCCTCCTTTTTTAGGGTGTAAACTGGTGCCTGGTTCTTGCACATGGTTCTTATTAAATATGACGTTGTTTGTGATTCTTAGGGCAGTTGTATCACCAGCCAAGGCCCTGATACCTGCCATTCGTCCTCTGCTGAGCGCCGCCCTGCAGGACATTCTCCACACAGTCAGAAGAGTGTTCCCACATGCTGAACAAGGCTTAAAGAGGAAGAAAGAACAAGGTGCAGCCCTCTTGTTCTGTGTTGCATTCATTTATTATGGCCCTCGGTTGTGTTCATGGTCATGCATTTTTTTTTAACTTAATTTAACAAATTTTCCCTTTTTCCATAAGTAATTACAGAAGAGAACACACCTAGATTGATTGTTCATCAGGAGTGACTGCTATACTGTGTGTTTATTTCCAGATGTGGCCTGTGGTGTGTCTGAGGATGATCTGATGTTCAGTGACGATGAGGACTCTGAAGTCCACTCCAATGGCTCTCACTTCCAACTCAAAACACCTGCTGCTAAGGGTCAACTCAACCTCAACAGGTTGGTTAGGGTTATATTCAGGAAGGAATATAATATACAGGGGGTTTATTCTTTCAGATAATCACTGGTTTTGTTTATAAATATTGTTTCACATAATTGGTCAATCAAAATATTAGTTGTAGTTGTATATACAGTGTATGGAAAACTACTGCTAATGCATTTATGGAGTTTACACTATGTAGTCTTGGGTCTCATAGTCTTCCTTTTTTTCCCTTTAGTTTTGCTTTACTTTAGAAGTGCTGTGAGCTGTCTGGTGTCCCAGTGACCTGAATCTTTTTTCAAGAACTGTCAGGCAAATTAATGAGCCCACATTAGAATGGAAATAAATCTGCATTCCTATCACTTTACCCATCTCACTGTCTCTGTTATCTCTCCTTGTTTTAGGAGTGTGCTGAGCCACCCAACCTCCTACCGTCCCAGGCTGCTGTTGGAGGGCAGACCAGGCTCAGGTCAGAGCTCCCACCTGGCTCCAGCTGTCCTCCACGCTCTGGAGAAATTCACTGTGTACACACTGGACATGGCCGTGTTGTTTGGAGCCAGTGCAACTGCACCGGAAGAGACATGTGCTCAGGTAAATAATTCTTTATATACATATTTAGTAACATATAACAACTCACGACATGCCCTCCGGTTGGGTCATTTACATGTAACCAGCCCCCAGATGTATAAAATCGGGACTCCTAACGAACTGGGGTACACTAGAGATAGTCTCTATTCTTGCAGCCTTGTCAAATTCAGTGTGTTCTTTTCATGGACTTCACTGGCCAAAATGGCTGCCACAGAGATTGTAGTTCATGGGCCCCACATCCTTACACCGTGGGAAGTGGGGATAAATATGTACTACAGACAATTACTCTTATGAAAGAGGTATGATATTGCCAAATGTCTGGAAGTTGCTTGTGTATTATGAGCAGCAGTAAAGAAAAAAAGTATTCACTGAATATTCATTTGGAATGGAGAAAATTGAACAATATAATACTAATAATACAATATTAATGTTTCTCTGTCATATCTTCTGCAGATCTTTGTTGAAGCGAAGCGGACCTCTCCCAGTATCCTGTACATCCCTCACATTGGACAGTGGTGGGAAACAGTGGGTCCAGCCTTAAGGGCCACCTTCCTCAGCCTGCTCAGCTCCATCCCTGCCTTCGCTCCTATATTGCTTCTGGCTACGTGCAGCCTGCAGTATGACCAACTCAGTGTGGAGGTATTGAAGAAAGGCCGATACACTGTAGATTTAGATTGGTATTACATTAGGGTACAGCATTTAAAACATATCTGTGGAATGAAAATAAGATGGCACTGCGTCTAGTTTTTAAAAATATATATAAAAGGATTCGTTCTACACAATAGTCCTCTACAAGTCTCTCAGCTCTTAACTTTCTTGTGACTTTCTTGTCTCAGGTGCAGGAGTTGTTTCGTGTAGAGTATGGAGAGGTTTTCCATGTCCAGGTCCCCACCACCAGAGAAAGAAGAAACTTCTTTGAGGATCTGATCCTCAATCAAGCTGCCAAGGCCCCCACCTCAAAGAAGAAAGCTGGTGAGAAATAGATTAGTGTGGTAATAAAATACAGATCAAAGCTAGCTTTGCATGATCTGTAGTTTCATTGATATGTGATACACCCATTATATCTATTAGCTACAGTACAACAAATAGTGTTGTTAATTTGACCCAAAAATGTGAGGCAATAATGTGTGTACGGTGTTTTTGGAGGGCGAGAAAAAGAAGTTGCCGGTATTCATTAGTCCAAATAGGTGGAGGATTTTTGAGTGTAAATACAGAGACACTGAAAGTTAATTCAGAATGAATGCAGTATTTAGAAACGTATTTTAAGTGAATGTGAGCGGAACTGCCACCAGCTCAATGGGAAATCCTCATAGGTGTAGTGTGACACACGAAAAGTTTGATTGCGGAAATTCTGCAATTAAATTACGTAACATATGTTCAAGTGGCGGCACAGTGTGGTATTGCTTATCTTGGCAGCAACATATTTGAGGGTGAAATACTTTGTTGGTGAAATTAAATTCTCACTGCACATCTACGATCCTCCCACTTTGTTCAGTGCTCCATGCATTGGAGGTGCTTCCTGTCGCCCCTCCGCCTCCTCCGCGTAAGCTGACAGAAGAGGAGATCCAACGATTGGAGGAGCAGGAAGAAGATACCCTAAGGGAGCTCCGCCTCTTCCTGCGTGATGTCACCAACCGCCTTTCCCAAGATAAACGCTTCAAGGCTTTTACAAAGCCTGTGGATTTAGAAGAGGTAGCTGTTCCATTATATTCTATTGTCTCAGTCATTTCCTGTTATCCCCTAATAAAGCATTACATAAGGGCTGACTCACTGTTGGCTTAACTGAGAATAATGTCTGTACTCCCAACAGGTTTGTTGTTGTAGTACTTCCATTATTCTATCGAGTGTTCAGTTTGATCAATTTTACACACGGTCGTACTCACAGCAGCCTCTTTGCCATGTGTTTTTAGGTACCAGATTACGCTGAAGTGATCAAGAAGCCTATGGACCTGTCAACAGTTCTCTCTAATGTCGACCTCCATCGTTATGGGACGGTCAAAGAGTTCCGCCAAGACGTAGATCTCATCTGGCAGAATGCCCTCGAATACAATCCAGACAGAGACCCCTCAGGTACAGACAGTAAACAGCAAAGAACATACTCGCCATACTCATGGGAAAAATATACAGTTTTAATACTTACAGTAACTGATTAGGATAACGCAACTGATTAGGATAACGCAACTGTTTGAACATAAAATCAGCATTCTTGCTCACTTGAGTGTGAATTTGTGTGTTTACTCCAGACCGCCAGATCCGCCACAGAGCATGTGCATTGAAGGACACCGTCCATGCTATCATCAGAGATGAACTGGATGAAGATTTTGAGAAGATTTGTGAGGAGATCCAAGTGTCGCGCAGCACAAGAGGTGAATGGTGTGTGTGTGTATGTGTGTGTACATGCATATAGTTAGGTTACTTAGGCCAGCTTCAGGGATCACACTAACATTCTGTGAGGCCAGCTTTAACATATTAACCGGTGTACATCATTTTAGTTACCCAGAGTTACCCTGACTTGGCTAAGTGACTAATACTTAATGGCTAATTTTGAAAACCTTTAATGAAGTACTTGCACTAAGATTAAGCTACTATACTATACTATACTACTATATTCTGTTTCATCATTTAACTCACTCAACGTCTCACAGAAATAACTCAAGCTTGTGCATTTCTCTCCTGTTCCAACTCAGTTGATTTAAACCAAGATTGCACAATTGCATCCACTTAAACCAGACCTTCAGTTTCAGAATGAGTTTGTTTAAGCGGACAAAAACAGTTTCACGCATATGTAGAATGACAAAAATGTATTGTGCTTTCTTTATCTCAGATTGCTCGACTGTCCAGTTTGCTCCCTCCTTCTACCACGTCCTTCCCAAACAGTCCAGACCTCCGGCTGAGGCCAAGGTCACTGACATGACCCCACAAAGAGAGGCTGGACCCACAGCTGCAATTACTCCCAGTACAAGTGCCTCTGCTGTTACAATGCTTAGAAACACAGGTAAAGACTACTGTGGGTTTTTTTTTTTTAAAGAAAAAATGATTTACTTAAAAAGAACTATAACAAATTCCTTATCCCCTTTTGTTGCTCCAGCCCAGAAGAAGAAAAGACGAAAGAGTCGCTGGTCCACCGGCTTCTACGCAAAGAGGAAGTCTTCCTCCTCTCCTCACACGTCCAGAGACGACACACACTTGGGGTCGGATGAGGAAGAGGAAGATGGGGACGACGAGGAAGAGGTTGAGAAGGGAGCAGGAGCAGATTGTAATGAGGAGACTGGAGGAGAGGAGGAGCAGATGGTGGTTGATGTAGAGTCAGGGCCTGCACCAGCTCAGGAGGGAAGAGAGGAGATGAGTCAGGCTGCTGAAGACAGAGATGGTGACCAGACACAGAAAGACAAAGAAGATGTGGATAAAGCTGTCTCAGATCAACCAGGACAGTCGGAGGAAAACAACAAAGCGTTGACAGGAAAGGCAGGAAATGAGAACAGTGAAACCATTTCAGTGAACACTAACCAGGACAGTCACACTGAGACAGAGGGAGATACCCAGGGACAATCCAATACAGAGGAGAGTCAAACTAATAGCCAAAAGCTGACAGAAACTGAGACCAACAAATGTCAAACTGCAATAGAGGCAGATGACAAGAACATGAAGGTAGTTACTGTAGAGGAGGCAGAGCAGAACGGCCCCACTGAACCAATGGAGGTGGAAGCAACACAAATCTCAACCGCAGACGCCTCTGAAGCTTTCAGAGCGGAGGAGGACACAGGCCCAGGTTTGATATAAACACACACACAATAACATTTGTAGCTGGGCTTTTTAAGTGTAGAAGAAAGTGTAGAGGAAAATATCAAGAGAAACTGAGCCCTTCCGTCCACTAAATCCCTATCTAAAGTGTTGTCGGTGTAGTGTTTCGAGAGAATAGCGAGGTGCAATCACAGCACTTCATAGTGAATGTGTCAGCAGACTGTCATCTAATATAGACGTCTAAATGCTTTGTGCTTGCATATTGTGTCTCAGATCGGAGCGTGAGGCGCATTACTCGGGCTCTAAAGAACGCTGTGCTGCAGCAGCAGATGATCGATGTGGACAAGGCTCTGCAGATCCTGGACCAGGAAACTCCTCCTCTGGTTGTGGACAGTGACAAATTAAAGGTGTGTGTGATACTGTGTGTGTCAGTTTCTTTATCATTAATGGTCAGATGGGTTTTCTGCATCTTGGCTTTACTCATAGTAGCTCTAACAAAACATCCTCCATCCCGTACTCTTGGCTAGGAGGGTAGGAAGGTTGACAATTAAAATTGTAATCTCCATGTCATTCCTCTTTCTTCCTGATTTGTTCAGGAGCTCTTGGAGAGAGTGGTGACAAAGACCGAAGGCTATGAGGTGTACAAGCTGGAGAAACTCTACGCTCTGCTCTGTCAGAGCATCTATAGGCACCGACGAGACTACAACAAAACAGCACTAATACAGGTTTGTATTAGTCTGTACTGATGAGCAGATGTAGCCTTATTTTAACTTGCAGATATTCAGTTCATAGCCAGAAAAGCACAGGCGTAACTAATAACCTTATTGATGGCTGTCAGTAAGCCTGTGAGCCCAACAGCAGGGCACACCTGATCATTAACACTGTTAGATACAACTGTGTTTTCTGCTATGCCACAACATCTACAGTAAAGAGGATATCCCAGTTTCCTCATTGTATTATTGCAGTGTTATTTAAGAGGAGTGAAACGTTAAGGTGATTACTTGTAGCTTTAACTGTTTAACTTTTGCCCAAAGTACTTTAATGTTTCTAATCTGTTTCCCTTTCTTCTCATTTGATTAGGAGTTGGAACAGGAGATTGAAGACTTCTGTTGACTCTACAGGAACTAAAACGTGACCAGTTATTATGCTCATCATGTTATAGCTGTGTAAATATACAAACACTGGTTCTATTTTCATAGAAACCTACAGGCACATCTATTTGTGCATTAGCAAAATCTTTGTATTACCTGTTTTGTTTATATTTAATTAAATGGTTTTCCTCTAAGTATCGTTTTGTTCCTTTTTGTGTGCTCAAGATTTAGTTTTCAGTTTGTGAGGAATCGTGAGAGCTATGATAGTGTGACTTTTGCCATATCATTTGGCAAACGCTGATTCACTTAGCCACAGCAGTGTGTAGAGTATTAGAAAGTATCATGATTACTTTCTATTCCTCCTTTTTTTTTAACCGATATTTCTGTTACATGTTGTGTTTGACTTGTAGCTGTAACTTGTAGCTGAAATGTTGACTGAAGACTGGACTGCCTGAAAGAATTAACAAATCCCTGTCAGCCTCCATAATTACTGATTTTATTACAATCAATCAGTTTACAAAGAGGAGTTATACACAAAGTTGTTTATCAGGTTCGTTTTGATCTGGTTTTGTGCAGTCTACAGATTCGTAACATCCGGACATTAAGGACATTGGCATTTACCTGGTTAATGGAGGGTCTAACACAAGATACTTTAGGGTTGCATTATGGGAAGAGTTGAATCTGGGTTTTTGAGGTTTTGACACATGGAGACAAAAAGTCTGTATATCTGCCTGCTGCATCATTTTTGACATTTTGAACATAATGGAAGTGCAATAAGTGCTCCAGATCACCCTGTGTGGATAATACAACGTGAGATGAATCACTATTTATCTGTGATCGGCACTCACAACAATTACACAAGATGTGCAGTGTGTGTAAATATCTCAGCGATCTTCCAGTCTCACGTTCAGTTTTTCTGTACTTGGGATATTTTATTATTATTATTATTTTGTAGTCATTTTAAACCAGTGCAGGAGGATTAATTCCCGCACAGATATTAAATACATAACAAGGCGGGTTGTACAGCAGCTAATGAACAAGCTGTAGTAGTTGAAACAATCGACAGAAGCCCGGACAGCGACACAAGACGAGACGAGGTGTAGTGAAGGGAACTCTGCAGCGTCAGTGTTGTCCTCAAGTAGCTCCTCACACAACCCTGACAGGTCATGTAAGGACATTTTGGCAGACTGCCGGGTCGGGAAACGGGAGAGTTTGCGGCCCGCCTTAAACCATTTTTAATACTTTTCCCCCAAACGACACAGTACCAAACCCCCCTCATAAAGAGCACACTGTGGCGATAAAATATTGTTTATTTTTTGCTAATTTTCAGTAATTGTTAGAGCACCGAAAGTCGCCGAGGAATGACGTCAGGACGTATCACATTGAATGATGACGCCGTTTGATCATTAAAAAAAAAAAATCCGCCGTTAAAAAATAGCAGAGAATTAGGTCAGCAAAGTAACACAGCGCCGACGGCCACCTTATGAATGTAACCACCGTGTGTTTCATTATATAACTTCCACAAAGGAGCGACAGGGGCTGGAGATAACCTGCTCCGACGGGGGGAGAGATGTCCGGTGTTTCCAGCATCTGCAGACGGGGGCCGTAGTTAGACCGGTCCGTCTGTCTGTCTGTCTGCCTCCCTCCGCTGGGTTTGGAAGACCCGCAAGCCCAAATACCGTGAACGCTGCCGTAGTCCCGTCCTGGCTGGGGCTCAATGGTTAGCCGGGGGAACGGAGAGACACCGACAGACACCACCTGAGGGCTGCTCTACAGAGACCCAGGAAATTACTGCTCGCCTCGTCTCGACAGCCTGGTAGCAACACAGTGCACATTTCAGTAGTTCAGTAAGTTTACCGCCACACATTATCAATAATACTGACCGCCCCGGCTAACACGAGCTAGTTGGCCCACCTCATATACATGCTAGGTGCTGTAGAGCTCAGTTAGATGTGCTTTTATGTTAATTTATAGCTTTAAGGTTACTTTATTAATAACGAATTAGCTAGCTCACACCTCCAAATTATTCTTCAGGCGCTAAATGTTCATGCAAATGTCACAGTAGAGTGCACACAGTTAATACAGTTTATCGTTAATACTGGGCTCTCTGTTTCACACACTGTAAGACAGTTGTCTCCAGGCTTATTGCAGCAGTGTCTTAGAAGTGGACTTCACAGTGGCACATTTGCAGCACCTCTATCATAGTCAATGACCTTGTCGTAAATGAGGCGGTAAGCATCAAGTTAAACCATGACCTGCCCTAACGGATCACCATCAACACACAATGACACACATGGAAATAGACATCCAGTATTTGCAGTAACCAGGCAATATGTGCCAAATGTGTAGTTAAGAAAACCTAAACCCTATCCTGGTGTTGGTTCAGTTATTCTGGTGTTATAATTCATCTGTGCCTCGCTGCTGTTGGGAGACCAATAACCTGATTTACTGTGGGTTTACCCTGTGATATACACAAGGTACTGTGAATTGATTGGAATAAGACATGTGTAAATGTGGGGCTGGGTGACAATTCAGTGCTATAGTTAATATGGTACCACATGAAAGACTTTGTTTCAGGATTTTACAAATTCTGTAGTCAGATTTAATAATTTCTAGTAGTGCTGCTATGAATGATCTTGACCTATGAATAATTTAGTGCATACTATGTGACTTTTATTTGTAACTGACCAGCACTATTCCCAGAGCCCAAGAACACATCTTCAGATAGCTTCTTGTGTCTGAACAACAGGTCAAATATATGCAATTACAATATAATAATAACACATTAATTAATAAATGAATTGCATAACATTGAAACACAGTTTATTGTGTTGGCCATTAATATGAATATGTATTGCAGTTATTTGCATTTATTTGTATTTATCCCTGTTTTTGGTGATAAATAGAAATCGCATACATAATTGTACTTGTTAAATCTGCTTACAGGCCAACATGAATCAAGTTTTTAGTCATCGTGCTGAAGGAAATGAAAAGTGCAACGTCATATGTCTTCCCCCTGAGCACTTCATGCAATCCAGTCTCAGTGTTCTCTTGTGTGTTTTCCTCCATAAACCCCAGGCTTTACACACATTATTCTTATGACAGTTTAACTGTGAAATATCATGTTTTTGGTAGACATAAGAAAGCATGTGTTGGGGTAATTCTCCATGGATTGAAAGGCTGCAGTACTTATTGAATCCCAGAAATAATTGCATACGTATGCAGTATTGTTTTAGGGCTGCAAGTAAAAGTAACATTCACCACTTAGAAATCTGTTGGTTATTTAAATGCTACGTTGCCTGTCAAAGCATGAGAGCTTAAAATTGTTTCCTTTGTCTAAGCAAGTCAGAAATCTTGAATGTATTCAGTTTCGACTGATAAGAAGCAGGAAAATCGAACCACTCCTCACAGTCGTGAAGCGGGTTTTGTAACACTGAAGAAGCTATTTATGGCTAATCGTCGAAGAGAAAGTATTTGAGAGATTTGCATCCAGTTTTTATTTACAGTTTTACTCTTATTGTATGACATCTTTTGTTATTCCCCCCCCCACCAGAAACACGTAATTCAAGGACTCTAGCATGTGAGCCGCCACAAAAGACATGTGAGCCTCTACACTTCTGTCCCAGATCTTCTTTACCCTGCACAGACGTGAACAGAGTTTGGTTTGACAATGTCGAGCCGTCGGAAATCCACCACACCTTGCATGGTGCTGCCCTCTGATGTGGTAGAGCAGGAAGAGCTGGAGGAGAAAACAGAAAGAGCAAAGGAGGACGAGCCCGAGGAGGAGCAGGGCAAGGTGAGGGAAGGAGCAGAGGAGGGGCCGACTGCAGAGGAGCTGGATCAGGCAGTAGTGGTTGTCCCCACCCCTCCAGATACAGGTAAGATTGGCCCATTATCCCATATGTAGATGATAATGGCACTCAGTTAACCTGAAAATCTCTAAATCTGAATGAACGGGAATAACATGGTAATATCGTGTATGTAATAATAATGTTGTATTATTATTATCATAGATGAGCCCAGTGTCTCTACTATAGAAGACAGCGAAGTGGTTGGTCCCTCGCTGAAGCGCAGCGCTACAAACCCTCCTGAGGATGTGGGCAGCGACCAGGTGACACAGGAACAGCAGTGTGATGCACCTGCAGAGGGGGGAGCAGACCCTGCTGCGGTTGCTGCCATCTCTCTCAGCAAGACCCCCATCATGAGGATGAAGACCAAATCTGAGCCCAAGAGGATCGCCGTGTCCCTGAAATCAGCAGACGAGGCGGCGGAGGGTTTTGGAGGGGGTGGTGAAGGAGAGGTGGGAGGAGAGCAAGAGCCCATCGAAGCTCCTCTGGGGCCGATGACGCCTGTGGAGATGCTGCTGCATGACTCCATGAAGCTCGGGGGAGGTGGCTTGCTGGTCGGCCCGCCCTCAGAGCCGCAGAGGAAATCATCCACTTTAAACCCCACAGTTCTGCCCGCTGGCCTGGCACAGGTAGGAGGTCTCCATCATCAGGATATAGCGGATGCATTGCAACAGCTGTGAAAAATAAATGTGTGTTTTCAGACTCAGCAGCAGCACGGACGCTTAAAAACGTCTGGCTGTCATGTTAAATATCCCCAGCAGAGAGGTTAGATGTCAACAACAGAACAGCAGCCCTGCAGCTCATAGATACTCACTGTCTTGTTCAGAGACACTTTGACAAGACGACAGCTTACCAAACAGGGCTCAAGCAGTGCCTCACCTTTGCCCCCATGTAGCATTATCCGTCCAGACCTGTCTTATCTCCTCTCTCTCTTTCTCTATTTCAGGTGCTTTCTGCTTTCCAAGCCCAGCACAGTGCAGCAGCAGCAGCAGCTCAGCCTCAGCTACTGATTCCCCTCAGCAGCATCCCCTCCTACAGTGCGGCTATGGACACCAACCCTCTGCTGGGAAGCACATACAAGAAGTTTCCTTACCCCTCCATGGCTGAGATCAGCAGCCTGGCAGCACAGACACAGTTCACAGAGGAGCAGATCAAGGTAGGTGAAAGTTGTTGGGGTTAATTGCCTGCTCACAAAGGATGTCGGGTTTTCACCCGCCTGTTCTAAGATAAGATGCCTCAAACAGATACAAGTATATGCTCCTTATTCTATATGTTTTGTCAAGTAAAAAGCCACCTCGATCTTGATTCAAAGATTTAAGTCTGAAATATACTCAATTTTACCTTTGCCTTGCATATTTTGGAAATGGTGGAGTCAAATGTACTCAATGCACACCCAGGTGTGGTTCTCAGCCCAGCGGCTGAAGCACGGCGTGAGCTGGACTCCAGAGGAAGTGGAGGAGGCCAGGAGGAAACAGTTTAACGGAACGGTGCACACGGTGCCTCAGACCATCACTGTCATTCCTGCTCACCAACTCTCAGCAGCTGCCAATGGCCTACAGTCCATTCTTCAGACCTGCCAGATAGTGGGCCAGCCCGGCCTGGTGTTCACACAGGTAGGTAAGGAAATAAAACACGACATATCAAACAAGACTCGGCTTTGACCTGCCTTGCCTTGAGCTTAAGACTGGTTGGACCTTGACGTGCTTTAGTTTAATTAAATTGTAATGAATTTTTGATGATGCAGATGATCACAACAGTCTCATAGACCATGCCTTAAATGCTGTGTTCGCTTATAGCCCAGCAGGCAGTATGTATGTTAAAGGAATTTCCCCATTGTGGGACAAATAAAGGAATATCTTATCTTATGTTAAAGTATCAGCTGGGAAACAACATCTATGGAGTTTGTAAAAATAACATATCACACACACACACGAGGTCTTGTGGAGGAAATAAAGTGAATTGTTAAACTCGATTTGCTGTGTGGAGACTGAATCTTTGTAACTGCCCTCAGCCTGGGATGCACTCTGATGCCTGTGGCTCGTGACGCCGTATTTGCTCGTCGGCTGGCCAGACTCTTCACAGATTAGAGGCAGAGGCAGTAATAAGTACTACACATCAAAAACCAGTTTAAGGACCTTTCATACAGTGTTAACGACTAAATAACGACTTTAAACAACCAATACATCCATGTCTGGCTGTATGTCTCATCTTCATATTCTGTGCGTCATTATTCTCTGAATGTGTGTAGGTCGGCCCAGGAGGGAACCTTCCGGTGACCAGTCCCATCACCCTGACGGTGGCAGGGCTGCCCAGCCAGTCCCAAAGCTCCAGCAGAGTTTCCTGCCAGCCCACCCCAACAAACAGTGAGCTGAAACGGGCTACCACTGTCCAGCCTCCCTCTCTTTCCCCACAGGTGAGGACAGCACCTGTTGCTGCCTTCTCTTTTGCTCTTGTGCTCTCAATTGCTGTCAACAAGCAAGTTTCTGATTTCTAACCCAGCCAGTCCACAGAATTACCACATGGTGTTTTTCATCAGTTGTATGTAATGTATCCACGTACGTTCACAAAAGTTTTACACATCTCATCTGTAGCCATGTTGTCTTTCTCCTAGCAGGTATTTAGTACTTCTGTGTGCGTGTACAAACCCTTGTTTAATATATAACTCTCCGCTTCCATTTCTAAGGAGAACTCGGCCCTCAGTGCTGACACATTCAGTTTGCGGCCTAAGAAGTCCAAAGAGCAGCTGGCAGAGCTGAAAGCCAGCTACCTGAAGAACCACTTTGTCACTGATGCAGAAATTGCCCGGCTGATGAAGCTCACCAACCTGACAAAGGGAGAGATCAAGAAGTGGTTCAGTGACACCAGGTACAACCAGCGCAACTCTAAGAACAGCCATGTCATTGTTTTCCATGACGGTGGGGGCAGGGGAAGTGGCAGCTGTAGTAGCAGTGCTAGCACCACCATTGTTATTGACTCGAGCGACGAGACCCCCACATCTCCCCTTCCTCCACGTACTCCTCCTGTGAAGGACAAGGAGACGCGGCCCAAAACATGGAATCCGTTCCCCGATTTTACCCTGCAGAAGTTTAAGGAGAAGACTCCGGAGCAGCTGGTGGTGCTGGAGGAAAGTTTTGAGAAGAGCAACAGCCCTTCAGATGAAGAACTGAGCCGCCTGAGGACAGAGACTAAACTGACACGGAGGGAGATTGATGCCTGGTTCACCGAGAGACGAAAAATGCCTTCTGTAAGCACTTCCTCCCCAGATTCTTCAGAAGGCAGTAAGTTGGAGACAGACGGAGCAAAAGCAGCAGAAGGAGGAACGGGAGTGAGCTCTTCTTCTCCTTCTGCTTCCTCGTCTCGTAAAGGTAGTCAAACTCCTCCTGGCGGTCGCAGTAAGCAGCTGCCCAGCAGCAGCAGCAGCATCAAAGACATGAAAGATAAGAGTAAAAAGACCCCAGAGCAGCTCCATATTCTGAAAAGTGCCTTTGTGCGGACCCAGTGGCCCACACCAGAGGAGTACGACCAGCTGGCGGAAGAGAGCGGCCTTCCCCGGTCCTACATCGTCAGCTGGTTCGGGGACTCTCGGTACTCGTGGAAGAACAGTAACCTGAAGTGGTTCTTCCAGTACCAAAGTGGCAACATCGAAGGGCCAAATGGTGGAGGAGGCAATAAAATGGGAAGCAGCAGCAGCACGGGCCGGAAAAGACGCGCCCGAAATCGTGGTTGGGGGCGGTCCCGAACCAGAAAGCAGCCAAGAAGGTCCGCCTCCTTCAGCTCAGATGTCGATAGAGCGCCCCCTTCAAAGAAATTCAAGAGTGGGAGGGAGATTCTAAAGGAATACTACCTAAAGCACCGTTTTCTCAATGAGCAAGACCTGGATGAGCTTGTCACCAAGACCAACATGAGCTATGAACAGGTAATGAAACAATGTTTCACATCCCAGATGTGAGAAAACTTGCATATGTGTCACTGTATTCTGTTATAATCAGCTTCTGACCTGTCAGCCAGGACCTTGTTTCCCAAAAGCTTCTTTTCAATTGTAAAATTGAACTCAGTCTTTAACATGCATAGACTAACAGGTCAGTCTTTCAATGCTTCCCTCAATAGAGACTGAGGCCTGCGTAAAAAAACCTGCATTGTAGAACCAATTCAAAGGCTTCAGGGCGGTGGCGTGGAAGTCGTGTTTTCAGTTGTTTAAAAAGTGGTTTGATGTATCTCCAGTTTTTTTCACTGCCTAGTTCTCACCGCTGTTCAAGCAACTCATTTGCATTTAGAAATCCCCCGACGTTTGGTAGGCACTGAGATCTATGTTCTCTCTTCTTTTCATTTGAGGTGCAAATGTTGTTTTCTCAACTCCTTATAATCAAGTCAGTATTATTTATACAGCAAAATATACAAATGTGGTCTTTAAACATTTACAGGGCTTTATATTATACAGTAGTTCTAATACAGAAATTATGACAGAATGACTTTCCCAATATATGACATACATATTCATAAAAACTTATATGAACCATCACCGCTTGATTCCACCCAGTAACATGAATTATAAAGGAACACTGTGGACTGCAAATTAAGCTTCGCTGAATAATGGGATTTTATGTATTACTGATATTTCATAGCATGGGTAATAAAGACTTTTGTGTATTTAAATTGAAACAGATTTATTTAACCACTCAATTATATTTCCCTATCTAAAGGTTATGTTAATGTCTGATCTAAAACCACCAGCTATCTTATTCTGATGGAGAATACTAAATCCATTTTATTTTGATTCATTAATTTTTTTCTGCCTAAAACAGCCACATTTTAATATATTTAGTCCTAAAAAATGTGTCTAACTGCATAATGCAAACTCATCTCCATGTCATTAAAACCCAAGCGTTAACAGCCACTACTAGTTTTTTCCCCTCCAGAAACTCTTGTGGATTGGTGGTTTGGACTAAAAGCTCTGACTGTGAACGATGAATCAGTCCCTTCTATCTAAATTCCCGGAAATATCACAAAGGACATGACCTGAGTGTCCTCACACCAGTAGCTGCAGCTCTGCTCTCAACACGCGGTTAAAGTGTTTCTCTCTCCGTCAACAGGTGAGGGAGTGGTTCGCCGAGGTCCAGCGACGCTTGGAGACCGGGTCAGATCCCTTCGAGGAGCCGGCGGTAGGAAGGACAGATGGAGAAGAGGGAGGAGAGGAAGAGGGAGCGGACACACGGGGAGAGGCGTCGACGGCCACCGAGGAGCAGACCGGCCCAGCGGTGGGAGACGAAGACGATGACGATGAAGGAGACGAGGATGATGACGGCGACGATACGGACGACAGTGAGGTTTGGGAGCCGTCACGTAGCGTCAGGAAGTCCTTGTCAGTTTCTGAAGACTAACGATTGTGGGAGGCACAGTGAAACATTACAGAATGTCACAAGAGAAATACTGTTGTGATCAAAGCTGGAAGGTGGCTAAACCAAGTCTTTTTTTACCACTGATGTGCATGTGTACTCATTTGCAGCATTAATTCACTGTATTTTCAAACAATTTCTGAAACACAACTAACAGATGGACTATTAGCTTTAGCTCACTCTCTCAATCTTATTTACTGTAAGTAATGTGTAACAGTTTAGACATGAGTCATGGTAAACAAGGAAGTGGCATACCAAACTTTGTTTTGGTAAAGCTTAAAATTCAATACACAACATTTAGTGAAAAGGAAATACCATGAAGTGCTTCAAGCTGAGCTGAAGATGGTAACTGTGGAAATAGTTACCCAAAAAGGTGATGTATCCAGACACATCCATACATCATTTCTTTTAGGAACAACTGACGAATGCTGACTGTTGTAGATGAGAGATTTTAAGAGGAATTAACAGTTTTAATGTCCGTCATGCCCCTCGTTAAATTTGCACTCTTTGCTTGCTTGAATGAAGTCAGCAAAGGTAGACTTATTTACACATAATGCTGCATTTCTTTGAGAAAGAGTGTTTGTTATAAGCACAGGCCTAATTTCAAACTTCTATCTCCAATGTTATGAATGTTTCACCCCTGGTCCCAAACTATGAGCGCACACAGACAAAAAAAAAAAAGACTTATCTGACGTGTTTACAAAGGTGCTTAAAAATGTATCACAGCTAGATGTCACTTCTGAACAATGTCCCCAATGAAACTGACATACATCTATTTAAGGAACTGGTTGGTTTATATTATACAGTATCTTTGTTTTTTCCTAGCACCAGTGAAGGTCGTAAGGACCAGATACGAATCAGCAGGTTGTTTGCGCTCACATGGATTGGTAATGACTCTGAAAGTCAGGTATTTTATCTCAATATGAGACAAAGTACCTTAATGCTGAATGAATGCCAATGCAATGATGCTTTTAAACAACACAGGATGTCTACTCAAGTCTTCCCTTTATAGTGGCTTGTTGTTTCATGAGTATTATTAGTATTATAGATTTTTAACTGAACACCTACAGATCTGGTGGAAAAATGCCACAGTATGTGTTTAATATGCACTGCTATCAATGTTTTTAAACTAATTTTCACCTTTTGATAGAAATCCTGTGCTATTATGACCTTTTTAAAGTTTTTTTTTTTTTTTTTTGGTTATGTAGATTCAGACAGTGTGATGCTGTTGTCCTAAAGTTGAATGTGTTGGCTCCTGAACAGTGAGCTACAGTTAGAGGCAGAAGCGCTGTGACATGTGGGTCCTCTGAAATAATAATAGAAACAGAAGTATTCAGCTTAGACATTACTGATGGTGGGCCTCTGATGACTGAATTTTAAGATGGGGATGCAGCATTGCAGAGTTTTCTTTAAACCATGTAAACGTAAGCACCAGCTGCAGCTCCCGTGTAGATTTAGATCAAGTCAATCCACAGGTTATCACTTTTACAAGACTGCGATCGCCACCAAATCACCGACACCTTGCCTTTAGGTTTGGGCTCATCTGCTCATGTCAAAAACAAGGCCTGTGAATCATTTTGGGTCTCGACGCGTACTTTAAAGAAAGACTGTTTAACAGCAATTCAAATAATAATTTGAGTCCAGTCTGCACTGAAGAGAAAAACGTGAAGCACCTAAACTAAACTTTTTTTAAAAATGCACTTTGTCCACTTGTGTACATTGTGGACTGAATCCTGATTAGGCACCTTAATCTCTTATTATACCATAAAATGGCTCTGAGAGACCAAATCTGTTTTGTATGACTACAAACTGAACCAGTGTTTTGCCTTTTTTTTATCCTCAGTGTGTTTTCAGGAGGAGGAACAAATTGATCCACTTTTCTAATGTGTTGTTTCATAGTTGGATGTTTATGAGGCTCATAAAACTAGTAGAACAATCACACAACGCTTTCTTTCGCTAAATTGCACAATTTGAGCCCCATTTTTAATCCTTTCTCCTTTTGAAAATGCACGTGTTATATTTGTTGTGTTTTGTATTGTTGCTTTAAATTGTGGGAATTGTCTCCCATCTCTCCCTCTCTGCTCCCACATACCCCTGTCAGACTCTTTCCCCCCCTCCTCCAGTCCACTTTTGGAAAATGAATGCCTAGACTCTTGATGTGCACTTCCCAAGACATGTTTCTGTAAACGTTAGCGGCGTCCTATTGGTTCTCTGTCTCATTAAATTGTCTACAACACAGGCAGACAGACAGACAGGCAGACATACAGGGCTATAGGAACATCTTCAAAAGACTGAAACTGTTCAGAAAACAGACATTCTTGGAAAATTCACTTTCTCTCGTGAAAGGGATTGTTGTGATGCCTGAAGAAACAGCATAGCATTCCCTCTGTGGCGGGAAGCCTACCAAATAACGCTCCTCTTTCTAACTGTTTTCCTCAGACTTTACCGCGGTAGATCGACCGGACAATAGACTGACAACTGTCTTGACTACAGTTCTTCACAAATAGGGGGAGAGACTCTGATGAAGCTTTGCAGATAAACCTATGTGCCTACACGGCTCGTACGCTTGTTTGAACAGAATTTCACCAACTCTCGACAGAAGGTGATGGGAGAGAATTTGTCAGTGCTTTGAAAAACCCCACACTGTTGGGTGATTCTTAAGGGAGGCTTGTTCAAACTAAGTTGTGATGCATGACCGAGCTCTGCTTTCTGCTGATGCTAAAAGATGCCTAGTTACTCTGAAGTTGACGTTGGAAACTTCTGTTGTAAGTCCTTAAACAGATACCTTGGTGTTCAGAATTGTATTGTGTTTTTCCACCAGGCACTTGTCACACATCATGTTGTCACTTTGATTTCAATGACACCAGTGTTGTCTGCTAGACGTAAGCTAACTAAGATAGCTAGTTGACAGCAACGGAAGGACAAATCTGAAACGGAAATCTTGATACATTTTGCATAATGTGACAAGTGCCTGGTCATGAAAAATAAATTCAAAATGTTAAGGTATACCTTTTGTCTAATACTGCATGCAATAACCAAGACGAACAACTGCTCATTTGTACATACAATATTCTGGGTTGGTATACTTGGCACGGTAGAAGCTTAATCTGGGATTAATTCTTTGTGTAGCTTTAATCATACCAGTTACCTTGCATCACCAAGTTAACTGCAACTATGGACCTGTTTTCTTCCGTTCATGGAAATATTTATTGAAGTCTTGTCACTTTTAGCTTGGACAGGCTTACTTCAATTAGCCAGCTCCTTTTACAGCAGCATTTTAAGCAAAGAGTCCTTGTGTCCAAACCGGCCATTATGCCCAGCCATTTTGTGCCCTTTTGCGACCATTTGAATCCCGGTACTTCACGTGCTAATTTCTACATGTGCTAAAAACTGGCTGTCCATAGTTAGCTTGTTTTAGTCCACAGGTTAGGCTTATACCTGCCTCCAGGTATCCAGCCCACAGTCTTTTACAGTGTGCTCATTCTTTACTATAGTCGGTCTGTTTTGAATGGTTTTATATGTTTCTATCTATGAAAACTGTGTCATTACAACTCTTTCCAGACATTAGTGGATTGTTTGTTAACAAGACAGACTCATACAATATGTACAATAGAGTAGTGTTTTTGAAATAGAATCAATTTTAGAGTTCAGCCAGTGTTGCCCAAGTGGCTTTTTGGTACTTTGGTTGCAAAAATATAGAATCAGAACTCAATAGAAAAGACACACTATTGTCTTGTTAGCACTGGGAAAACATTTTTCTTCTTAATAATGTGTCAAAAATGTTAAAGCTTTACAACTAAGCTGTTTCATAAACATACATTAAGTGTTACAGTAAAATGATTTAACATCACAGTTACTTAAAGGGGCCCTCCATTGATTTTACACATGAACTAGAAGGGCACTGTTTTGTTTCTGCAGTGATGTTTGAGGCGGCTGTTATGTTTTGTTGTATATGTAGACATTGCACACCATTCACTTGAAATACAACAGGTTTACACATGCTTGACAGATTCAGTTCATTTTACCATAGAGACGGCCATAATTGACCTTGATCTCGCAATGTAAACGAAAGTAAAAAATAACTTGTGTATCCGCCTCGTGATTCGGATCCCGTCTGAAATTTAATGGGTTCCTCCTCGGCCCACTCCACTAAATTTCATGAAAATCAGGAACGTTTTTCTGTAATCCTACTGACAGACAAATAAACAAACAAACAAAATATAACCTCCTTGGTGGAGGGATGTAATGATACTTGTCATTGAAGAGTACTACTCAGCCTATGAAAACACAGCTGGAGAAGACTTTTCTCGTAAGAGTCCCCCTACTTTATGAAATGGCAGTACTAAATCACTACCCCTTTAAAGATTTCCCTTCCATTACACTTAATATTAGCCCCATACTAGGTGAATGATAAGAGCATTGGTAGAAACAGAACCAGCCTGGCTCCGCTAAAATGAACGGTCTAGTAAAGCTGTAAGATGTAGAAAACTCTACCTTAAATATCAATCATGTATTTAAAGTTTTCCCAGGTTGCTGAGGTGCTGTGTCTGATCCCTGAGTCATGATTTTATATTCAACAGTCATCATGTATCCCAGTTAACTTTGTGCAGTAGCGCTAAGAGCTTACATTGTGATCTGAGTAGTTTACCTGCTGTCCTATTGTGCACGTCATATCTGTATCCTTCGCTATACTTCTGCTATTTAGTCCTCACTTGTTTTCTGTATTTAGACAGGTAGTTGGTTGAATGTTTCTTACAGCAATCAGAGATTAAAATGTTTTCACTATTCAGCAGCCAGCTTTTTTTGGCCAAAAAATACACCTTGTCAGAATTGTAATATACTGTACGTATAAATGGAAATGTGTTTTTTTAACTCATTGAAAGTGGAATTTTTTTTATCTGTTGACAGTTTTTACCCCAAGTTATTACTTTTGAAGAGCTTGCTTTGCTTTTTAACGTAAAATGGACTTTTTTTTTTCTTTGTTACTGCTTCAATACATACCTGTTTTACTGGATGCGTCAGTGATTTCTCAGTTCTTGTATTAAGATACAGTTGGCTCCGTAGACACAGAGACTGTGGGAAGAACACAATGAGAGTGTACTCTACCTTAATAAATCAGTTGGTGCTCATTTAAAGGCAACATATATTTACTGTGCCGTTTTAAAATGTTACCCCTGACTAACCTAAATTTAGGTTTTTAAAAATAAGCTGTGATCTCTGTCCTGCTTGAAAATCTACCATGAACTGGTACGCATTATCCCGTACTCCTGATCGACGACTATTGTGAGAACGAAACTGACTTGCTTGATGTTGGACTTTTTGCGCACGATGCGGGCAAAGATGACAACGTTCTTTTCTCAAACTGCTCAACAAAAAAGGTCAAACTGTTACTCTGTGTCTACGGAACTGACATTTCCACCAACATTAAGTTATTTCTACACTCTGCCTGTACTGAGAGTATCTGTCATAAAGTTTGATTAAACACGGTATGTATGTGCGTCTGCCTCTGCAGGTTTGCTTCAGAAAGCTATAAATTCCTTTAGCGGCCCCTGCGACCATCAGCTTGTAGCTACCAGCTGTGAGGCAGACAATTTGTGCAATGTTAATTTAAAATCACGGCTGTTTGGAGGCTCTGGCTTGATTTAGAAAAGATTTATATTTTATACTTGTTTGAGGACAAAACCCAATAAATTTTGATCAAAAGATGTGCACTTGCGAGCAACATTTTGCGTGTTTTGCTTTGAATAAATGTGATGTGAAGAAGTCATGCAGAGAGGAAAGTAGTGCATTGTGTCCCATTAAATCCTAGACCCTATTGACTACTTTTGAGGTTTAACTATTCATCCTCATAGCTACTTATTAGTTATTTGATGAATGATTGTTTTGGTGAGGCAGTTTGCGACACACTTCTTCACACAGATACATTTATCGTCACTGTTAATAAGATATATTGTAATAGTAAAAACAGTGTTTTAACTAAACCCTCAGTGGTGCAGTGCCATATACTGAAAATACATTAAATCAAATCTGATGTATTTATAAAGCACATTTAAAAACAACCCCTAAAAAGTGCTGTACAGACCAGACCAATCACATTGTTCTTTTGTATGGAAAAGATAATCAAATTATTTTTGCAGCAAACCTACAAACTAAAGCACATTTCCCAGAAGCAGGGGGTTTAGATTTGAATATGAAAATAAAATGTATTTTTTATACACAACTTCCTCTGTTTAAGAGAAAAGACCAAGAGATATTTGCATGAGCTGGAACTTCCACCTTTAACCTTCTGTTATAGAGGCAGCAGTCAGGGAAGGGAGATGAGTACAGATACAGTCAGAGAGGGCATCATATAAAGACCACTGTGGAGAGACAAAGGTGAGTACAGCCTAACTGGACAATTTCTCCACTTTTGTATTGTGATAGAGTCCTCTTTTAGATGCAGGTAGACACACGTATGCCATTTAAAAGAAACTGAAAGCTTTATTTTCTGATCTCACTGTATCTGTGTACAACATTCAACAATATGCTGTGTGGTCTATTGATCATCTGTCTGTCAGTGATCTTTTAAAGGATCAAAACATAGAATGAGACCTAGGGCAAGTACACAAAAATGTGAATGATGGATAAAATACTTCATCGTCTTTTACTGTAAACTGGATTTGACTTTTCAGACATTTCATCCCATAGAACCACAAACATGACTCTTCCTGCCCTTACTGTTCTCTCCCACTTATTGCAGGTTCATCTGTTTCTGTCCTTTCTGTTAAAAACATCACAAACTAAAAAATTTGACTTTCAGTGTCAAAGCACAATGTCAGGGTGCTACATCACTGTGTTCTCCCCTAAAGCCATTCCTCTAGTTCTGTGTGAAGTGTGGATCTACGGCACAAGACAAGGTAAAATAAATGTTCTCATCAACAAAGTGAGTTGCTTAGTCAGTGCAATGCTCATACACAGTAACTGATGGATAGCCAGAGAGGAGGTAATGATGATGAGGTAAACTGAAACGTCTCCTTTACTGTTAAATGTGGACAAAAAGTGTATTAATGCAAGAGCAGATACCATTATGACTAATATATTTTACTTACAAAGCTCTTCATGGTC